GGGCGGGCCGCGCGGGGTGAGCCCGGCGAGCTGAGGTCTCGGCGCTCCGGGACTCGGCGGGCGCTTCGGCGGGCGCTTCGGCCGGCGTCTCGGCGCGCAGCCCCCGCCGCGTCCTTCCCCGCGGGCTCGGCCCGGTGCGGCCGGCGGCTGGGGCGATGTGAACCGGGGCCCGCGGGCGCGGCAGGCTCGCCGCGATGTGGCTCAAGCCGGAGGAGGTGCTGCTCAAGAACGCGCTGAAGCTCTGGGTGACCCAGAAGAGCAGCTGCTACTTCGTCCTGCAGCGGCGCCGCGGGCACGGCGAGGGGGGCGGCCGCCTCACCGGTAAGGGGCGCGCGCGGAGCCTCGGCCCGGCCTCTGTCCCCGCCGCCCGGCCGCGTCGCAGGTGGCGTGTCGGTGGCAGCCGCCGAGGCCGGGACGGCCCTGCCTGTGGCTTGTTTTCCTTTCTCCTTGGTTTCTCACGCGAGCTCCGGGCGGGCTGGGAGCCCAGGGACCCACGGGCCGGGAGAGGCAGGTGCATCTGATGCGACCTAGCTCCGAACGCTGGAGACGGGGCTCCCAGAGCTCGCCCCAGGGCCGCGGGATCGGGGCGCCCGAGGGCCCCGCCAGGTGACAGGAGGGTGCGCCCGGGCAGGCCCGGACTTGGCCATCTGGACGCAGCTGTGGCTCCAGGTGTTGTTGCAGCTGGGGACCTGAGGCCGGATGGTCGAGAGGCTCTAGAGATCCCGGACTTTCTGGCTCAGGAGGCAGGGGAAACCGAGGCCCTACGGTTCCCAAGCTCGTAGTCCGAGCAGTGAAGTTAAGCATCCAGTTGTTTCTCCTTTCAGAGTCTTCTGAGGAACGGTGGGGAAAACAACAACAAAACCTAGGGCTTTGAAGTTGCCCAGAACCAGGCATTTCCCCCTTCTAAAAGTTAAAGCTCAAAGCTGGTAGAGATTGGGACTAGTTCGCATTGTTAGCTAGAGCTAATCAGTGAGGGAGAACCGCGGTATCTACCGAGAGGATCGAAATGAATCCTTTGGTTAAGGAGCCCGGATAAAAGGGGCCTTGGGTGATGGTCCTTTCACAGTCTTCTGCTGAGGAAGTCAATGCACCGAAACTGTGTGCCCAGGTTAACTGTTGGCGACTGCCGGCTTCTGGGCCAGTCTGGGGAAGGCCCTTTGGGAGTGGACTGTGGTCGGAGAAACGGAGGACCGATAGTTTAACTTCGGGGAAGGCTAGCATGTGGGTTCAGGGTAGGGTGGGGGTATCCGTGATGACGCAGAGACCTTCCTTGGACCTCAGGAGGGGGTAGGAGATGGCAGGTTCTGGGTGAAAGGGTGGGTGGACAGTGGAGGGTCCTGGATGTGGCCTTCGGGTGGCCAGTGGTCCCCTCAGCAGCAGGGACAGGTGCAGCAGGTGTGCTTCATGGGGGCGTCACTGTGGCGGGCAGGAGGCCAGGAGGCGGCAGAGGGCTGTGCGCCTACAGTGCCGAGGAAGGTGGCCTAATTTACGGTGGACTGAGTTCAGTGTCTGGTGTGTCAGTGTCTCCCGCTGCAGAAGGCGACCACTGGGCAGGGGCAGTGCAGACTGGGAAGCATGAGGACAGTTTGTTCCACACGGCCTGCCCAGCCACTTGACCCATTGACCCTGTGGGATGTTTGATGTCCCTGCTGCCCTGGGAAAGAATCGGTGGGGCAGGTGAGTGAGGGCCTATCATTTTGGGATTATTGTCCATCCAGCAGGGCACAGACAGGGCAGAGCCTCCTGTCAGGGCTGTGTGGAGCTTCAGAGTTTACGGCTGAGAGGAACAGAGTCCATCCCGAGAGGTGTGGCCTCCTTCCTACTCAGGTCTTGTGCTGAGATGCCTGTGGCTTTGTTTGGTCTTGCCCAGAGTTGCCTTTGTCTGGACCTTGTGAATGTGCAGAAACTTCTCTCTTCTCTTTGAGACACAGCATAAAATACGTAGCTCAGGCTGGCCTCAAATGATCCTATACCTCCAGGTCTTGGAGGACAGGGATTGCAAGCATATGCCACCATGCCCCCTCAGATCTTTCTTGCTTGCTTGCTTTTCTTTTCTTTAGCATACTGTTAGATTTATATTTTATGCATGAGTGTTCTATCTGTGTGTATTCCTGCTTGCCAGAAGAGGGCATCAGATCACATTATAGATGGTTGTGAACCACCCAGTAGTTGCTGGGAATTGAACCATCAGGACTTCTGGAGTGCAGGCAGTGCTCTTAGCCACTGAGCCATCTCTCCAGCCCCGAGACACTTCTTAAAGGCAACAAGATAAATGGAAAAGGAGAAAACCTACCAAGTAAAGATGCTTCTTCATTTCTTAGAGACCCAGGATCTCTTGTTGATTGTGCCAGGATGAGATGCCCTCTGCAGCCTGACTCCTGACCTTTGAACATTTATTGTGCAATCTAGACTTAGTGTATTATTACCCTTGAGCTTGGAGGAATGTTGTTCAGTCAGGACCAGTGAAGCACTGGGCAGCTCTGGATTAGCAATTGTTGGAGAACATAAAAATGCAATTGGCATATTTTTAGCAGTGTAAGAGTTTATGGTTTACAATGTGTTTAAAGGAAATAACAGGGGCAGGTTCTAGACTTTTTTTTTTTTTGGCAGAGTTATCAGTGGACTGAAATAAAGGAGAGTATAGTAATCTTTCCCTTTTATTTTTATGCTAAATTTGTTATTATGTAGTAGGAGTTTAGGCATATAACAGTCAAAAGGTTAAAATAATTTGTATTGCCCATTTTTAGAAACACAAGTTTTTCTCTAAGGGCTATAATTTACCCTCCTACACACGCATGTACGTGCACACAGGCACACACACACACACACACACTTCTTATATATACCTATTATCCTTGATATTTTTATCAAACCTGCTTTATTTAGGGTTATTAAGCTCTTCTACCTCCCTTCCAACCCCCCAACACCGGGTAGGAGGGAAAGACGGTTAGTGGGGACAGGGGGTGGAGCTCTCTTTTCTATTTCCCACTGGGTAAGGTTGTAGGATTCTTTTGGAGACAATACCAATATCACTTGTCCAGAAATCCAGAAGTCCAGGTAATCAGCAAATCAGCAAACAGCAAATGCAGCAGCAGGACGAACCAGCAGCAAGCAGTCCTCCTCTAAGCAGCTGTGGCTTCTTCCTCTGGGCTGTCATATTTACACCCCTCAAAGTCCTCAGAATTCAACTAATTCCACCTGGCAAAGACCATGTTCTGCACAAGACACTTAACAGGTGTGGACAAACTAACATCTCCAACTTCAAATTTTAACAAAAACCTGTTTACACATCATCACCCCAAACATCCACAACAACTGTTTTTTTTTTCTCCCTAACTTTCTAGTTCTCTGACTTAGTTACTTCTCTACTGCTGTGACAAACAGCACAGCCAAGGTGGCAGACAGAAGAAACCGTTTCCCGGGGTGGGTCGGTGGCCATCTTGGTGGAGAGCATGGCAGCAGACAGACAGGCACGAGGCAGGCACGGCCCTGGAGCGTGCCGAAAGAGCTCACATCACGAGAGGCAGAGAGTAGGGCGGGGAAGAGACGGACTGGGAGTGGCTTGAGCTCAGGTGAAAGGTCTCATGTCTCTTTACCTCCTCATCCTTCCCAAACAGTTCCACCAGCTGAGGACCAAGCACTGAAATGTATGAACCTGTGGCAGCCATTCTTGCTTGGGGCAGGGGCAGAGGGCTGTATGCATATGTAAATGTGTGTTCATATTTGTTTCCATTTGTGACATGTTGAAGAGTGTGTGTGTCTATGTATGTAGAAGCCAGTGATTATTGTCTGTTAACTTCTTGATGCTTTTGTGCCTTATGTGGTGGTCAAACCACCACATTCTTTCATGTTTTTTTTCCTATAAAAAAATTATTATTTTTTTTTTTATTGCATGTGCATTGGTATTTTACCTGCATGTATGCCTGTGTGAGGGTATCAGATCCCCTGGAACTGGAGTTACAGACTGTTGTGAGCCGTCATGTGGGTGCTGGGAGTTGAACCCGGGTCCTTTGGCAGAGCAGCTAGTGGCTCAAACTACTGAGCCATCTCTCCAGCCCCTAGGTGTTTTTCTCAACTGAATTGCCTATTTATAAGGGTAGGTGTTTTAGCTTTGATGATGCTTCACAGCGTAGGCTCAGTGAACATTTGTAAGAGGAACAGGTAGATGAGCACCCGTATGAGTGGGCATTCTTTTGGGGGTGGACATTGGGTGTGGGCATAGTGACAAGGCGAAGCTGGTCTTATGGGAAGGGAGCCTCCCCTGCTCCTCTGGGCTTCCCGTTGGACCGCTGTGGGAAGAGCGATGGGTTGGTGGGTGTTGTGTTCCTCCTTTCTCCTCTTCCACTTTCATTATTTCTGGAGCTTCTGCTTTGGGGACTTGTGGGGGGGGGGAGGCATGGCACTGACTTCTCAGGTGGTGAGCAAGGGTTCTTGAGACGGAGCTGACCTTACAGCTGTCCCATGAAGTGTACTGGGATCCATTTTTCTTCGATGGGAGGGTGGCTGGAATATGAATTCCCGGGCTCGGGGAACTTCTGGGCGCCTGCCAGGTCAGGTTAGAACATGGCGAGTTCAGTACCCTGAGATGTTCCAAAGCTCTGTGGGCAGAGGTGGTTTTGCCACCCTGGGAAGGAAGTAAACTTAGGCAGTGTTCACTTGGAGACGCTTACAGCCCACAGAGCCCATGGGAATATCGCTTATGGAAGTTTAGTCCACTCTGGGAGAACAAAGAGCCAGCGAGTGAGCACGTGGGAGGCGGTGGACAGAGAGAGCATACAGCCTCCCCACCCCCGCCCCCAGGTCTCCCTGAAACCCTTAAAGCAATAGGGACAAATGGAATGCTAAAGCTCAGGCATCCTAGACCATATGGGGCCCTCGAGAGGATTTTATTTTTGTTGTTAGTGCTTGGTTCTATGCATTCCTCCATAATCTTACAGTTGCTTTCTTAAAGGACCTGGCTGTTATAAACTTGGAACTTGAATGAGTTATTGCTGCACTCTGATTTGAAGTGTGCTGGCCGTCGCCCCCTGTTCACATTACTGCACTGGGAATTATCTAAGCAGGCTCAGGGAAGGGAGCAGGGGAGAGCGGGACAGAGTGGGTGATGTCTGTCGGCTTTGGATTAGGTCTGCTGGCTACAGTGTGGGGCAGGAGGCCTGGGTTTTATTTATCCGATCCCTGGAGCCAGAGTTGTAACTCAGAGTTGAAGTGGAGCAGGGATGGGGTGACCCTGGAGAGTTAGAGGTGCTTCCTGGGCCCTCGTCACCTGCGTTTTTGCCAGCACGAGGGTTCCCATGGAAGTGTTAGCATTCAGCGGGGTA